GAATCATCACACCATAAGGAAGTAACTGTGTCAGCTCAGGCCCATGTGCTGGACAAGAAAAGATTGGCAGTCCAAGAAGAATGTCAGCAGAGCTTGGTATCATTGAATGATGAGGAGGAACATGGACCAGGTCAGAATCAGGACGTGTTTTATTTTAGGTAAGCTACCTGGTATTAATTTCTGTTTCTTGCAACTAAACAACCCTAAGCAATGTATTAAAGGACCCAGAGTAGACAGACCCAGTAAGCAGCATGCCTTACCAATGCAGGCCTCCGGGGTCTCCAGAGACACAGAGCCAATAGGAGAGAGATACGTAGTATATCCTATACATAGTATATCCTATAGACATTAAAATGTATATCAATATGTAGAGATGGATAGTGATATATGTGTTGCTAGATCAATAGAGCTTAAGGAATTGGCTCCCACAGTTGTGGAGTTGGCAAGTCTGAAATTCACAGAGCAGGCCTGCAGGCTGGAAACTGAGGCAGGATTCTTATGTTATTGTCCTAAGGCAGTATTCCATCTTTTCTGGGAAAGCTTAGTGTTTGTTCTTATGGCCTTCAACTGATTAGATGAGGCCCACCCATATTATCAAGGGAAATCTCCTTTCCTTAAAATTAACTGACTGTACTTGTTAATTATTAGGTTGGTGCAAAAGTAACTGCAATACGTCTATAAAACACGTGCACAGCAATGGCTAGACTAGTAACTGACCAAGTAACTGGCCACCATAGCCTGGCCCATCTGATACATAAAAGTAACTATCAAAAGAAAAAAAAAAGTAACCGTCATAGGTGTCACGTACCCAGTGCTTACTGTGTGCCAGGCACTGTGCAAGCCCTTCCACAAGCACTCTGCTCTTGCTTTTCCTCATCAACATATCTCACAAGTGCATCAGTGCCAGGACTTAGAATAGTGAAAGTGATTTGCCCAAGAAGACAGCCTAGTAAAGTCAGAGCTAGATATCTGTCTGGTCTGATTACCACTACACCAGACTGTCTTGCAAAGCTTCCATCTTAATAGTCTAAATTTAGCAATCTAAAAGAGTAATGGAGTGACCCAGAGACACTCAGCTTCTCAGGGTGGGCCTAGAACTCAGGTCTCCTGGCTCCTTGCCAGCTTTCTGGCTCATCGTCCAGCCGCACTGTTCTGGAAGATTCTGCACCCTATCCTCTGCAGGACTCACTTTCCAGAGAACTATTGGCTGCAAATTGTTGACTCCTAAGACAGCAAGCCCCATCCAGGGTAAGAGGTACTAACAGAACACTGAGCAGCAAGACCCAGGCTGCCGTTACCTTCTTGATAAATAGATGTGCTCAGAGTTTGTACCATGAAGCCACTTCACTGCGGAAACAACTTCATAATGAGACCCTTTCAGGACATCAGTATTGAAATTTCCTTGAACTGGGTCTGACATGGATCTGTCTGGTGACAGATCTATCTTTGTGGCAGTTTGTATTTTAGTGAAACTAAAGAGAATTTGCAGAGGGAGATAAGGCTTCCTAGGACTGCATGCATTTGTGAGGCATGCTGCTTACTGGGTCTGTCTGCTCTGGGTCTTGCAGTATATTGGCAAGAGTTGTTTAGTTGCAGGCGACAGAAACTAATAACAGGGAGCTTAAGTAAAATAAAAACAAAGAAAAACAAAGCAAATAATGGATGAGTTATCTTACTGAATCAAACTAGGACTTGGAAAATTAACACATAAGAAGACTGCAGTTAACCAGGACAGCTCTGGGCCCCTCTGCAGCAGTTCAGAAGCCTTCAGGGCATGGTTTGATATCACTGCAAGTCAATTCTGTGCTTCCCCAGTCTATTCCTATTCAAATTTCCAGAGTAAGAAACTAATTTGCTCAGCTTGGGTCAAGTGTCTAATCCTAAACAACCTACCCTTGTCAGGGGTGCAGCTAGGGCAGGCAGAATGCTCTGAGAGCAGCTTCTATGTAGAGGAGCAGGTTGCCCCCATAGAAAGGGGAATTGTTTTCCAGCAGGAATTAAGCTCCCAGCAGCAACTCCTGTAGTAACTGATTAAATAGTAACTTGAGGCTTATCTAGATAGAAACATCCATGTTAGATCTGTGTATGCACTGCATGCATATGTGTATGTGTCTTTTTATTTTGCCCATTCCCTTTACAGTTCAGCCCCGTCAGCCTTCTACTCAGTTTGTATAGCACTGTATTCTAAAATAATCAACTACAAATGCAGTCTGGGGCCCCAATGTAGAGAGCCTTGTCCTGAGACATTTATAAGAATGTTAAGCACCATGTGGGCAGAGTCTTTGGTTGTTCATTTCACCCTGTATCTTCAAGTGCCTGGCATATCATAGGTGCTGGGTGACTGCTGAGTAAGTAGCAACCACCCACCAGTACTGGCACACCTTCCCCTCTGCCCCAGGGATTCCAAGGGCTTTGCTGTCTTGGTCCAAGGATATTCTTTAGATCTATATGTCCCACCCCCAATACCCAGAATCAATAGATACAGTACCCATCTTTCCAGAGGGAAAGGTAAAGAGCCTAGCTCTGCCCATATCTAATAAAGAACTGATATAAAACAGAGTGCTAGCTGACACTAGATGCCTGGCCACAGAAGGAGGGAATCTTGGATATTTGAAAACCAACATTGTTCAGGCAGACAATGCGGGAGAAGAAGCCAGGCCAGGACAGGCTGGCTCAAACCCCTGGCACTCAAACTCACTAAGTATAGCTCACTCACACTCTATCTTGCTGTCTGTCTTCCTTTACAAACCTCCTCTGGAATAGTGGTATGAGAACTGTATATTAATTATTTGGTATATAGTTAGCATGAGCACTGTGGTAAAGAGTGAACTGCAAATGATATTCAGGGGGTTCCAAAATGAACTTCCAGCCCATCCCAACCAATCTCTCTCTACTGGGAGCTGGTGAGATCCATTGGCCAAGAATGGTTTTAGGAAACTGTCCTTCTTCCAAACTGTCCTTATTCTGACCTGGTCCAGGTTCCCCCTCATCACTGACTAATACGAAGCCCTTCCGATGTCCTGTGTTCTTCTTGGACTGCCACTCTGTTTTGTCCCACACAGGCCTGTGCTAACTTAGTCACTTTCTTATGGTATGATTCCTCTTTGCACGCCAGCTCTGGTCTCTGCTCATGCACAGGCTCAAAATTTGGTTGAGTGGAGTGACTTTAATAAATGCGGCAATGGAGAGTTTTTTGTTTCGGGCAGGGGTCGCAGAGGGTGGTTTGAGATGGAGCCCCGCCGTGGCACCCAGGCTGGAGTGCAGTGGCACAACCTCGGCTCACTGCAACCTCTGCCTCCAGGGTTCAAGCGATTCTTCTGCCTCAGCCTCCAGAGTAGCTGGGCTACAGGCATGTGCCACTGGCATGTGCCACCGTGCCCAACTAACTTTTGTATTTTTAGTAGAAGCCGTTTCACCATATTGGCCAAGCTAATCTTGAACTCCAGACCTCGTGATCTGCCCCACCCAGGCTCCCAAAGTGCAGGGATTACAGGTGTGAGCCACTGCACTGGGCCTTCAGTGTAGTTTTATGGCCACAGAGGGCTGCTGCTTTGTTTTTCAAAATGCCTTACAAAGCCTACATTTTCCCCAAGAAAGGCTGCTTTCTCTATTCCAGAGATAGAAGCAGACAGTCCATGAAGACCTTGAAACCCAAAGGTCAGTGTCGAAGCAGGAGGCCGGAATGAATTCCTAGGTCCTGGCCAAAATAGATCACAGAAGATCCAAGCCAGGGAGCCATGATAGCAGTGCAGTATTATAGTGACCACTTGTCACAGCAGGCCTGCCCCTGGACAGGTATGTCAGGGGGTATTCGGTTACCTTGTTCCAGGAGGTGGATGTTATTGCCATCATTTTAGGGACAAGGGACCAGAGATAGGGAGGAGCTAAGTCGCTTTCCCAGGATGACAGGACTTACAAAGTGACCCTGCCGGGGTTCAAATCCGGCCTGTGTTCATTAAAAGCTTTATGCCATATGGCACTAGATGCTGGGCCACATACGGCCCTCCATGAGCCTTTCTCCCTAAGTGACAGCCACAGAGCTGGGAAATGGCCGACAAACCCAGACATGCAGAATTGGATCTCAGAGGAGCAGAGTGGAAGACCAGGCACCAAGGCACGACTTTGGTGAACTTTCCCAAGTGGTATACTAGGGCTCTGTCTTACTAGCGCTGGCTGCATAGGGTGTCTCTGCCTACTTTAAAGGCTTGGAGTCTGGAGAATTCAAGGAGTTGAGGAGTCTCTGAAAGTGGAACCTGAAAGTGCCCAGTTTGGTGATTCTCTCACTTGCTCTGGTGTGGCCAGTGGTGCAGTAGGAGTGATTGACCAGCCCAGAGAACCAAGCAGGCTGGGCTCTAACCCTTGTGGTCCTTGGAGACCTTCCTTCTATGCCTGACTCTGGCAGGAGCACACACTGAAAACGTGTGGAAGGTTCTCCCAGCCCCTCAGTCTGTCCTGCCCTCTGTGTATTCTCCAGGAAGATTGAGCTCTCTGTCTCGGAGACAGCAGATCCCACTCCAATCTGGGTTCCCCAGGTGGTGTTTGCCAAGCTGCTTGGGGCTCCCAGGACTCCAGTTTCCCCATCTTTTTTTTTCTTTGTCATTGTTTTTTTTTTGTTTTTTTTTTTTTTTGAGACAGAATCTATCTCTGTCGCCCAGGCTGGAGTGCAGTGGCATGATCCCAGCTCATGGCAACCTCTGCCTTCTAGGCTGAAGCGATTCCCATGCCTCAGCCTCCCAAGTAGTGGAGTCAGGGTTTCACCATGTTGGCCAGGCTGGTCTCGAACTCCTAACCTCAAGTGATCTGCCTGCCTCCACCTCCCAAAGGCTGGGATTACAGAAGTGAATCATCGTACCCAGCCCAGTTTCCCCATCTTTAATTGAGAGGCTGACTTGAGCTTTCTCTCCTTTGCCTCCCTGGGCCAATGACCACCCTGCCCTCAAGGCGGAAGACCCTGGCCTGGTGTCACAGGGTCTCTGTCTCTCTGCTTCTTCCCTTTTCAGGAAGTCTGTCATCCAGCTCGACCTTGCCAACACCAAGAAAGCGATGATTGTGCCTGCATTCGAGACACTGCGCTACCGGCTCTCTTTCCCCAAGTCGAAAGCGGAGTTGCTGTCAATGCTAGACATGGGGACCCTCTTCACATTCAGGTGAGTGGCTCTAGCTGCTGTACTCTAGGGGTGCTCAAAGGCCTTCTTTGTTGTGGGAAACTGAATGGCAAAGCTATTGACCCTGAAGGTTGTTGCTCGCCTTAGTCCACTGTGAGACCAGGAAAGCATCACTTTGTACAGACAGTGTCCTTGTGATCTCTGTCTTTTTCCCGTGCCAGTACATACCACGTCCTTTTTTTGTGCATGGATGACAGATGTTATATGTCTAGATGGAAGATTAGGCATGTTTGGAGGACTGAAGGGTAGGAAGGTTTAGCTTATTTCTGTTTGTACTTGTTTCTAAACTCAGTTTAGGTCCCTGCTCCCATTTCCTGGCTCTGAATTCTCTCTTTTGTGTGCCTGTCCATTGATTCATTTGGTAGGTGAGTTTCATTCTGTTAGCACCATGGTAGTAATTTTCCTTTTTCTCTGTGGTATGGTGGTTTGTTATCTGAGCCCCTGAGGCCTGGGGGATGTGTAGCCATTGCGTCAACAACTTCAAGTCATCGAGGTGACTCCAGAGTTGCACACAGCACCTGTGGCAGCCAACTGTCCTGTTGCCCGAGTGACCACTTCAAACAGAATCCTGATTTTCCTTCTTTCCCAGGCCCCTGCATCCTGCAGGAGCTCCCCTGTCACCTATCCCGAGTGCCCCAGGAGTCTGTACCACTACACAGGTACAAACAAACAGATTCCATATCCTGGGGACAGGCTGCAGAATTACATATAGTGATCCAGAAGGACGTGGTATACTGCTAGGTGCCGTAACTTAGCAGTCTGAAGACAGGGCTAATGCTTCTGCCTGCTCCGGTTTTGTTTTTTGTTAATTGTTCTTATTTTGAGACAGAGCTTCACTCTTGTTGTCCAGGCTGGATTACAGTGGCACAGTTTCAGCCCACTGCAACCTTCACCTCCTGGGTTCAAGTGAGTCTCCTGGCTCAGCCTCCCAAGTAGCTGGGATTACAGGTGCCCACCACCACACACAGCTAAGTTTTATGTTTTTAGTAAAGACAGGTTTCACCATTTTGGCCAGGCTAGTCTCAAACTCCTGACCTCAGGTCATCCACTGGCCTCGGCCTTTCAAAGTGCTGAGATTACAGGTGTGAGCCACGTCACCCAGCCCTGCTCCAGTTTTAAAGTCAGGCTACTATTGTGAATGACATCAGATGGCCAACACTTCCTTTGAGCTAAAAAGCATACCCTTCTAGATCATTAGAATTTTATTGAAAAGACTGTAGTCAAAATAACTTGAGTTGATTGGGATCCAAGATGTCCTAGGAGGAGCAACTCTGGATTGCAGCTCCCAGCGAGAGAGAAGAGGGTAAGTGGTCACTGCATTTCCAGATGGATTTTTATTGCCCACAGACCAGGACATTCCTGGGTGAAGGAGCGCCATGGGTTCAGGTGCCATTTCAGCTGGCGACTGGAGCACCTGGGAGACACACTGACCAGTTCAATTGAAAAAAAGGGGACTGAACCAGGGAGCCAGGCCAGGAGATTCCTGGGCAAAAAAGCGCCACAAGTCTCCAGCACAGCTGTTTCAGCCGGCGCAGCGGGTCTCTGCACAAGAACTCACAGAAATCCGGATGCCATTTCAACTGGTGACTGGAACACCTGGAAGACAGAGTTAGTTGCCTGTTCAACTGAAAAAAAAAAGAAGGGGGTCTGAGGCAGGGAGCCAGGTGATCAGGCTCTGCCAGTCTCACCCCCACAAAGCCCAGCAACCTGAAATGCTCTGGCATGAGAGTTTCACAGTAAGCACAGCTGAACCTGGGATGGTCCAGCTCTGGGGGGGAGGGGTGTCCCCCATTACAGAGGCAGTTCTAAATATGCCCCTATAAACAGGATTGCAGGGAAGTTCACATGGCAGCTGGGCAGAGCCCACTGCTCAGCAATGCCTCTGCTGGCAGACTGACTAGGCTGCCTCCTTGCTGGGCAGGGCATCCCTGAAAAAAGGCAGCAGCATGACAGAAACTTTATTTATAAGCCCAACCTTCCTGGGACAGAGCACCTGGGGGAAAAAAATAGCGGTTAGGAATTCTGCTGCAGCAGACTTAAATGTATCTGCACAGCAGCTCTGAATGGAACAATGGAGCTCACAGCTCAACACCTGAGCTCCTGTAAGGGACAAACTGCCTCCTCAAGCAGCTCCCCAACCCCCATATATCCAAGAGTCACCTCATAAAGGAGAACTTAGGCTACATCAGGCAGATATCCTTCTGGGACAAAGATAGCAGAATAAGAAACTGGCAGCAACCCTTACTGTTCTGCAACTGCTGCAGGCGATCCCCAGGCAAGCAAGGTCTGGAGTGGACCTCCAGCAGTCCTACAGCAGAGGGGCATGACTGTTAGAAGGAATACTAAGAAAACAGAAAAAACTTCATCATCAACAAACAGGATGTCCACTCAGAGACTCCATCTGAAAGTCACCAACGACAAAGACCACAGGTAAATAAATCCACAAAGAAGGAAAGAAACCAGCGCAAAAAGCTTGAAAACACCCGAAACCAGAACGTCTCTCCTCCTCCAAGGGAACAAGGCTGGACGAGAATGAGTCTGATGAACTGACAGAGATAGGCTTCAGAAGGAGGGCAGTAACAAACTTCTCTGAGCTAAAAGAAGAACATGTTCTAACCCGATGCAAAGACAGACACTAAGAACCTTGAAAAAAAGTTTGACAAAATGCTGATGAGAATAAACAAACAGCTTAGAAAGGAATATAAATATTTGATGGAGCTGAAAAACACAAGAACTTCGTGAATAATACACAAGTTTCAACAGCCGAATCGACCAAGCAGAAGAAAGTATATCAGAGACTGAAGATCAACTCAATGAAATAAAACGAGAAGGCAAGATTGGAGAAAAAAGAATAAAAAGAAATGAACAAAAAGCCTCCAAGAAGTATGGGATTATGTGAAAAGACCTAATCTACATTTGATGGGTGTACCTGAATGTGACAGAGAGAATGAATCCAAGCTGGAAAACACTCTTCAGGATAGTATCCAGGAAAACTTCCCCAACCTAGAAAGGCAAACCAGTATTCAAGTCCAGGAAATACAGAGAACACCACAAAGATATCCCTCAAGAAGAGCAACCCCAAGGCAAATAATGGTCAGATTCACCAAGGTTGAAGTGAAGGAGAAAATGCTAAGGGCAGCCAAGAGAAAGGTCAGGTTACCCACAAAGGGAAGCCCATCGGACTCACAGCAGAACTCTCGGCAGAAACCCTACAAGCCAGAAGAGAGTGGAGACCAATATTCAACATCCTTAAAGAAAAGAACTTTCAACCTATTAATTTCATATCCAGCCAAACTAAGATTCATAAGTGAAGGAGAAAGAAAATCCTTTATATACAAGGATTTCATTGCTCAGAGATTTCATTACCACCAGTCCTCCTTTACAGGAGCTCCTGAAAGACTAAACATAGAAAGGAACCAGTACCAGCCACTCCAAAAACATACCAAATGGTAAAGAGCATAGATGCAATGAAGAAACTTGTCAACTAATGGGCAAAACAAACAGCTAGCATCAAAATGGCAGGATCAAATTCTCACATAACAGTATTAACCTTAAATGTAAATGGGCTACATGCCCCAATCAAAAGACACAGATTGGCAACTTGGATAAAACATCAAAACCCATCAGTGTGCTGTATCCAGGAAACCCATGTCACATGCAAGGATATACACAGGCTCAAAATAAAGAGATGGAGGAAGATTTACCAAGCAAATGGAGAGTAAAAAAAAAAAAAAGCAGGAGTTGCAATCCTAGTCTCTGTAAAATAGACTGTAAACCAACAAAGATCAAAAGAGACAAAGAAGGACATTACATAATGGTAAAAGGATCAATGCAATAAGAAGAGCTAATGATCCTAAATATATACACACCCAATACTAGCACACCCAGGTACATAAAGCAAGTTCTTAATGACCTACAAAGAGACTCAGACTCCACACAATAATAGTGGGAGACTTCAACGAGACAGAAAATTCACAAGGACATCCAGGACTTGAACTCCAGACCTGGACCAAGTAAACCTAATAGACATTTACAGAACTCTCCATCCCAAATCCACAGAATATACATTCTTCTCAGCAACACATCACACCTACTCTAAAACTGACCACATAATTGGAAGTAAATCACTCCTCAGCAAATGCAAAAGAATGGAAATCATAACAGTCTCTCAGACCACAGTGCAATCAAATTAGAACTCAGAATTCAAAAACTAAGAACTGCACAGCTTCATGGAAACTGAACAACTGGCTCTTGAATGTTGACTGGATAAACAATGAAATGAAGGTAGAAATAAAGATGTTCTTCGAAACCAACAAGAATGAAGACACAACATACCAGAATCTCTGGGACACATTTAAAGCAGTGTCTAGAGGAAAATATATAGCAATAAAGGCTCACATGAGAAGCAAGGAAAGATCTGAAATCAACACCCTATGGTCAAAATTGAAAGAGCTAGGGGGCAAGATCAAAAAAACTCAAAAGCGAGCAGAAGACAAGAAATAACTAAGATCACAGCTGAACAGGAGATAGAGACACAAAAAAATCCTTCAAAAAAATCAATAAATCCAGGAGCTGTTTTTTTTTTTAAAGATCAACAAAATAGACCACTAAGACAGATTAATAAAAAAGAAAGGAGAGAATAATCAAATAGATGCAATAAAAAGCAATAAAGGGGATATCACCACAGATTCCACAGAAATACAAGCCACCATCAGAGGTAACTAGAAACAACTCTATGCACATAAACCAGTAAACCTGGAAGAAATGGATAACTTCCTGGACACTTGCATTCTCCGTAGCCTAAGCCAGGAAGAAGTCAAAACCTTGAAGAGACCAATAACAAGGGCTGAAGTTGAGGTAGCGATTAATAGCTTTCCAACCAGAAAAAGCCCAGGTCCAGATGGGTTCACGGCTGAATTCTACCAGACATACAAAGAAGAGCTGGTACCATTCCTTCTGAAACTATTCCAAACAATCCAAAA